TTGGGGGGGGGGGGGGGGCAGGGTGTCCACAAAGGCTGTGCGATGGTGGGTGGTAGCAGGCGGCTGTGCAAGGCGGTGCAACACGTCTCCAGGGAGGAGGCGGCCTGCTGCTGGGCCCACACCTGGAACACCTGCGCCAGGGAGTAAGCTCCCACGCCCTGCACACACCGTCCGGTGGGCAAGCAGGCAGCACGGGCGTTGCTACAGAAGCCAGGAAGACAAGGGAGAGCTAGGAAGCGCCGCCCAGCACCACCCAGCAGCGGGATGGCACAGCACACCACCTGCCTGCAGGAAGATGCCTGAGCCGATTGCCAGCGTGATGCCGGACAGAGGGTGGTCCAGCTCCGCCCACAGCGCAAGCGACCAGCCTGCACGCAGCACAGGCGGTGGCGAGGGACCGCTGGCTGGCTTGGCCAGGGGCCTGGCGCTTGTTGCATGGACGGCCTCAGCAGCACAGCGGCGTCTTCGGCAGATGCACACAGGCAGAGGCAGCCTGCCAGGGCATGCATTGGTATGCTATGCATGTGGGCAGCGCACCCAGGTACAGGTGGTGCAGGTGGCAGTCCACGCCCTGCCACCTCAGCACCAGTGCGCTGCCCCCCAGAAAGTCCAGCAGCAGCACGCGGCTGGCGATGTAGGTAGCAGCATCCTGCCACCGCCGCGTGCGCACCACGGCCGTCATGTGCCACACGATCACCGCCAGGATCGCCGCCATGCCTGCAGCTCGCGCATCCCGCCGCCGCGCAGCAGCACCAGCAGCAGATCAGCGTAGCGGCCCCCTTGGCGCTGTTCTGCCTCCCTGTGTCTGGCAGGGGCATGAAGGAGACTGTCATCCTCAGCCAGCAGCACAGCCCCACCAGCAGCTCACCCAGCAACCAGATGACCGTGAAAAGCAGTCCCCAATTGTCCAGGTGCGCCAGGTCGTGCTTCAGGGGCTTGATGTTGCTGCCGGGACCATGAGCAGCGCTTGCATTGTTGGGACACGTAGTGAGAATCACGGGAGCAGTACAAGCATGGTCAGATGATGCAAGGCACATTGCGCAAACGAGCATGGTTGTTGTGATGTGGGACAGAGGGGGCTGCTGCCAAGCTGGCCTGGCACCCGGGGCGAGCAGGCAGGTAGGCAGGGCTCGCCTGATTGCGCTGAACACTGGTGGCGTGCCCAGAAGGGTGGACCAAACATACCAGCGGCGCCTGCATGCCACGGGCAGGTCTGAGACAGCGTAGCAGCATATGTATGCTGCCAGAAAACTGCCCGTACGCTTGGGAGAAGCAATGGCGGCAACGGTGCAGCTAGGCAGCAGCTGGGCAGCTGCGGTCGTTGTTCCGCGCTGGTCCTCACCTGCTGAACAGCCATTTGAAGCGGCTCGGACTGGTGACCCCCACAAACCAGCCCAGCACCGCGCCATACATCCCCAGGCTAGTGATATCTGAGAACGCCTCTAGAAAGTCGATCTGGCGGAGGCCGTCGTTCGGCAGCCCCACCTGGCAGGCTACACGCTGCACGGCGTAGCCAGCAAGCAGCACCGCCAGCCACGACGCCTGCACACACATACATGCGGTCAAAGAAGAGGCCACAGCGCGCAGCTGACAAAAGCTGGAGCAGGCTGCAGCCACATAGGGCCAGGAAAGGGTCGGGGGTGGTCGATGTGTGTGCCACCCGCCTGCTCACCATGTGCAGGTATTGCTGGGAGTAGGATGCGTCGCCACGCTCCTGCCACCTTCGCCCACTCAGGCTACCGGCGTCGGAGCCATCGTCCAAGGGAGAAAGCAGCGGCTGCAGCGCAGAAGAAGCACCCAGGGGCCATGCCGACTGTGCCTCCTGCGCGCGGGTGGGGTGGGTCAGGCAGTGTGGACAGGTGTGGCGGCCATGCTGCCGGCCCACTGGCGGCGGGGCACTTGGCAGCACGGAGTGTTGGCCGATGTGGCTTGGAGGGATTGCGCTGCGTTGCCGAGCTGCTGTTACGTCCCGTTTGTCCCTTGATTTCAGCGGGCAGCGGGCAGTGCCCGGGTTTCGGTGATTGTCACCTGGTCGGGACCATCGCAACCCTGTGCACTCTCAGTCATGCTCAATGTGATGTGGACCGGGGAATTCGTGATCCAGCGCTTTCACCCGGTGTGCCAAGCAGGCGGCCGCCAGCTGGGCGGAGCGCAGGCGCCATCGTGGCGCACATGTGAATTGGCGTGCAGGCCGCTGCAAGCACTGCATCGTCCAGGCTGCAACATCCATCCCTTGCTGCATGGATGTACACGGAGCCTCCACTCTAGACGACGGCAGCAAGGCTTGCATTAACACACAGTGGGATGAAATCGACGGCAAACGGCATAGCAATATCAAGGGCAAACTAAATAGGGTGATTTTGTGCAGGTAACCTGTCGCATGAGAACGAAAGGAAGATTGCAGGGGAGACAGAACGCAGATTGAAGGGACATGAAAGTGCGCGGGAGGAGGTTGAGCGCTGGGGATCGTGGGTTGGGGGAATCAAAGCAGAGAAGTTTGGGACATGGCAATGGCGTGCAAAGCCATTGTACATATGACAAGGGTGGCAGGCTTGAGCAACAAGCGCCCCAATAATAGTAGGCAAGCGCAGGCTGGGAGTGAGCCCCAGCAAACGGGCATATCAATTTGGCGAGCACATCAGTAGGGATTGGGAGCAGTTTGTGGCCGACTCTTGGGAGACAGATGGCAGGGCAGGATGGAGAGGATGTGTGCTGAAGGTGGGTGGGTAAAGATAGCGGGGCAGCAGCGGAGCGGATGAAGGCATCCAGGCAGATAGAGGTGATGGTGGCGTATAGAAGGTGGAAAGGGAGCAGTGATGCCACATTGAGACAGCAGGCATCTGCCACCCTCAACTGCCATGCTGCGTGGAGGCAACGGCAGCGGTGGTGCCTGCTGCCGCACCCCTGGCTGATGCCACAGACGGCTGCTGCGCACTCGGATCAAGCTGAACCCCCAGCTGGAGGGTGCCTCCAGGCATGATGGAGGCATTGACATGGTTGCCGCAGTGGGGCCCCTGCACAGGCAAACCAGGCAACTGCGTGGGCGGGCGGCACAAACCGGCAGCACCCGCTGCGCCGAGACACGCCACAAGACACCAGCTGGAGTCACTGAGCGGCACGTGCAGGTCTGCTATGGGGACGAATGGCTCACCAGGGCTTCTAGCAGGCGACTGGAGTTGGCGTGAGGCTGATGCAGGTGATGGAGTCCGCGTGCAACAGCTGCGGCTCCCTGAACAGCCAGAACGCGGTGTATGGTGGCGCTCATTAGGAGGGCTATCGCTGCAAGCGTAAACAGCATGACGGGCAGCTCCCCGCGAGGCGGCCTCATTGCGCGGGCCACACAGGAGCCTGCACAGCCCGCCATCTGCCAGCCACACAAGCAGGTATCAAAAGATATCGATAAACACTGAATTGGTGTGGCAGCAAACAGCCGGCTGTCTCCCGCATGAGGCCTTGGGCGCGGTGGCGGCGGTACGTGCTTCGTTGGCCGCTCGCTTTTGCATCTGCTACTAGATCGCTGCCAGGCTGCAAACTCGCACTGGCACGCTCCCCCTGGCATGAACTGCGCTGCAGCTGGGAGCGTTGGGCAGGGGGCGGAGGGCGGCAGGCGACTTGGTCAACGGTGCAGGCTGTTGGGAGACGGATGGGGGACAATCGGGCGACCTCACTGCTGGGGGCCGGCTGGCTGCTGGCACCCTGTGTTGGAGAGTACTGACCGAATGCTTGCTCTTTGCAGGTGTGTCAACACATGAGGGCCTTCATCATCATCGCTTACCCGCGAGCCCAGGTCATGCAGTGATGCTCATCCCAGCGCTGGGCTACTCCTGACGGCAAAGCATACAGCCACCTTGAGCGCCTTGCTTGGTCGATGCCGCAGCAATCCTGCTTGTGCCACCGTCATGTGCATGCAAACATAAAACCAATGCCATTCCCGCGGCGGCAGGTCCTCACAGGGCGGACACAGGACGGTACGATTGGAATGCACCTGAAGCACCGTGCCTCCCGTGTGTACATTCCAATATCCCGTTTTGTTTTGATGCAATCAAGAACAGCACGCCTGCAGCCAGGCTGGAGAGTAGGTCCACTCCCGCACGCCATGCACAGCACTGCCGCGCACTGCCGCCGCCAACTAGGCACCCGCTGATAGCGCTCCATCCCCGGCTTCGCATTGGCACCTCCTTTGTTACGCATCTGATGTTGTTCTCTCCCCTCCAGAGGGTCTCCGCTGCCCACCCCGCCTGCCCCTACTTGCAGTTGGCCGCTGGGCCCGCTTGCGGGGCCGGGCCCGAGTTTTAGTGGCAGGCAGCATCCAGAGAGCATCATTACGCCGTCGTTGAGCGGGGCGCAGGCTTGACAGCTATCGCAGGGCGGAGGTCTCGATAGGCTATGCCGTGCCATTCTGATAGGCGCTAGCAGCAATGAAGGAGGCACTGAACAAAGCGCCCCAACCGGCGGTGCGGCAGGTGGGCCTCGCTGCAGCTCCCGCTGCCACCGCCCTTGCACCGCCGCTTGCCCTGCTGCCGCCCACTGCTCCGCGCTCCACCGTCAGCTCTGCTGCCGCTGCTCACCCTGCTGGTGCTGCCCCCAGGTGCGCGCCGTGGTGGTCTGCCGGCCGCCTGTGGCGCATGACAGCCGGCGCTTGAGCGCCGTCGGCAGCGCGGCGGCGGGCGGCGGGTTTGGCCTGGAAGAGCTCGACATTACCGACCCTGCTGCCGGCGGCGAGGTGCCGCTGGGTGCGCCGCCAGACGCCGACCCCATCCGCGACATTGCCGTGGGCAAGGATGCGGTGCTGCGCATGCCGCTGTATGGGCACCGCGGCGCGCCGGCAGCCGACCTGTGCCGGAGGGAGGTGGCGCCGCTGCTGGCGCGGGTGCTGGCTGGCGAGAGCGCAGCGGTCATTGCATACGGCCAGACAGGTGGGGGCGTGGGTGGCCGAAGGGCCGGGGCCGAGGAGGCATTGCTGCCTCTGCTGCCTGGGATGGGCAGCCCTGCTTGCTGAGGCGCGCCGCGCTGTGCCGGTCACCCGGCTTGCGGTGCCTTTCCAGGCACCTCCTGCCCTGCACAGATGATGCGCCCTCAGACGCTGCACCCTGTGCATGGCCGGTCTGCCTGTAATCACAAATTATTTAATCATCACCCCACCATTGCAGGCAGTGGCAAATCTTTCACGCTGGGAACGCAGAAGTATGAGGAGGGGGAGGGCCCAGATGAGCACTCTGGTGTGTGCCGCTGCTGCTGCTGCTGCCTGACGATCGGGCACAAACAGGAGAGTGCCGCCCCGTGCCAGCCGTGCCGCGCCCACCCCGCCGCACTCTTGCCCCCTCTCCTCCCGCCCGGCGCGCAGTGAGCTCCTTCTGCGCCCAGGGCGTGTTTGCCCTGGCCCGGGAGAGCGGCGTGAAGGAGCTGGAGGTGTCGTTTGCCGCCGTCGAGGTGCGGCGTACTTTTGCCTCTCCTCCCTGGCACCTCCTCGCCTGCTTGCCTGGGCGGCTGTGCGTCTGCTGTCTGCCTGGGTCCCGGACCATGGCGGGGGCACGTGTGTACCGGTGGTGCTGCGCGGCGCGCATGTGTGGCCCGCCAGCTGGCCTGCCTATGCCCTCCCTTGCATTGCCCGCTCGCCCACCCTGCGTGCGCTTCCCCCACCCTCGAGCCCCTGCAGATCTACCGCGAGGGCCAGGGCTCGGAGCGGCTGTTCGACCTGCAGACGCTTGAGCGCAAGCGGGTGGAAAGCTTCGAGAAAGACGCCAAGTGGGAGCGCTCCACCTCCGCCACAGACCTCCAGGTGGGCCCCAGAGGTGTTTGCCGGGTGAGGCAGGTGCAGGGATGACGGTACCGGGTGCCCGCCCGGCTTCCCGGCAGCGCCGCAAACGTGGCGAGCCAGCTCCCTCACCCGCTGCTGCCTGCCTGCCTGCCCGCGCACCCCCACCTGCAGCGCAAGCTGCTGTATGCTGCGTACCTGCGCAACACCGACCGCACCGACGGCAACGCGCGCAGCAGCCGCTCCCACGCCATCTTTGTCATCCAGGTGTGCTGTCTTGCAGAAAGCAAGAAAACATGTGCCCGTGGCCTGGCAGCTGCTAAGGCCAGCACCACAGGCATCAGTGATGGCTGCCTCCTTAGGACCGGCCGCCCCTTGCCGAGCGCAGGTTCAGTTCAAGCGGCGGCAGGAGGAGGGCGGCGCCGTGCAGCGCATCAAGGCCCGCCTCATGCTCGTGGACCTGGCCGGCTCGGAGCGGGCCGCGCTGGCGCAGGCTGGCAGCGCCAGCCAGAAGCAGGTGAGGGGGCGATGCTTTGAAAACAAGGGAGGCATGGCAGCCCCCTGAACAGGGCTGGGCATGCGATGCAGCCCTGGCCACTGCCGCCTCCGCCCGGCCTGCGCTGCAGGGCTCTGGCATCAACGTGGGACTGCTGTTCCTGGTGAGGCGCTGCCTTGACCTGCCCTTGCTGCCCCATCCTGCCCCAGCCGCCCGCCCAACCTCTCGCTGCCTGCCACACCCCAGCCAGCGTGTTTCCCTGCTGCCATGCCTCAGTAAAATACTACATTAGACCCCCACCATCCACCCCGCCCATGCTTCTCGAAAGGAATGGTCCCTGCCTCCTGCCCTGCCTACGGTCCTGCCCTGCCCTGCCTACCTGCCCTGCCTGCCTTCCCTGCCTGCCCGCCTGCTGCAGGGCACGATCATCAAGGAGCTGGCTGAGCGCGGGGAGACCCACAACTACCGCAGCAGCAAGCTGACCTGGCTGCTGAAGCCCGCGCTGGGCGGCGGCAGCAGCGAGGTGTCCAGCAGCTGCAACACGCTCATCCTGGGGTGCATCGCGCCGCTGGCGCTGCACCTGGGCAACACCAGCGCCACGCTGGAGTGAGTGGGCTGTCTGCCTGCCTGCCTGTGGCGCGATGGCGGCGCGGGTGGGGTTTGCTTCCCCTCTTTTGTTGGAAGGCAGCTTGCTGCGGCTTTCCCTCTGCTGGTGTGTTGGCCGCATGCCCGTTCCCCTTCTCCTGCACCTGCCTCTTTCACTCGCCTCTCGCTCTTTCTTGCTCACCCGCCCGGCCCTCCTGCCCGCAGGTTTCTGCGGTCGGCGGGTATGGTGAAGAACGTGGTGTGCGCTGACGTGCAGATGCTGCGGCAGCAGGAGCTGGCAGCGCAGGTGAGCGCTGCCGTGCATGCGCTGCTCCGGTCATTATTGCGGGCAGAGGCGGCCCCTGGCATGCGTGTGCTGCGCTGTGGCGTGCACCATCTGCTGCTTGCCGCAGCCTCGCTGCCGCGCTCCGCAAGCGCAGCAGGCCGCCCTGTGCTTGCCGTGATAGAAATCGTTTCCTTTTCCTGATGCTCCCCGGCGCTGGCAGGTGGAGGACCTCAAGCGCCAGCTGCGCGGCATGCAGCTGCAGCTCAGCCAGCAGCAGATGCACCAGGGCTTCGCGGCACCTGTCGAGCCCGGCCCCGCCCCGCTCTCGCCTCCCTCACAGCATGAGGAGGCGGCGGGCGGCCAGGACAGCCCACACCAGGCCGCCGCCTCCGCTGCCGCTGCCGCGGCTGCTGCTGCTGCTGCTGCTGAGGCAGACGAGCGGGTTGCCCTTTTGGAGGCCAAGCTGGCAGCTGCACAGAAGGAGCTGGTTGTGCAGCGGGACCGTGCAGACGCGTATGAGGCGCTGCTGCGTCAGCAGGAGAAAGCGGGAGCCGCAGCTGCCGCAGAGGTCGCCGCCGCCAGGGCTGCCCAGGCGGCAGAAGCGCCAGGTGCCGAGGCGGCAGGCGAGGGCGGCGATGCCGGAGAGCTGCCAGAAGCTATGGCCGCCAGCCCCAGCGCCGTGGCTGCCGCCCCAGGCTCGTCGCCAGCGGCCTCGCTGCCGCCATCAACCGCCGTGGCTGCGGCGGGCGGCGTGCATGCCACGCCTGCCAGCGGCCTCGCCGCCGGTCGCCCCTCAGCCGCCCTGCTGGCCGCCTCGCCGCTGCTGGCGGCGAGCCGGGAGGTGGCGGAGTGGGTGGCGGATGCGGCGGCGGCGCAGGCGGCGACGCCGCCGGGGCAGCGCCTGCCGCTGCTGGCCTTGCTGCCTGGCGTGGAGGACATCTGCGCTGAGCGAGAGTCGCACATGCAGCCTGAGGAGCTTGCTGCCCTCAGGGTGAGGTGAAGGGGTGTGGTGGTCGCGGGGCAGGCTTGCTCGCAGACAGCGGTGGCAGGACAACGGGCAAGCAGCGGTGGCCCACTTTTCCTGGCAGGCGCCTGCGCTCACAGGGTTTGCATGCTGACAAGGCGTGCCGGGGCGCTGTGCACGCTGTGCCCGCTGCCCTCCCTGCAGGACAAGGTTGAGCGGGTGCTGGGCGGGGCGCGCGGCGGCGACGACCGCGCCCAGGCGCTGGCGTTTGCAGAGGTGGGAGGGGCGTGGGGCAGGTCAGGTGGTGGTGGTGGTCAGAAGCTTTTTACCCCCTGCTTCCAGCAAACACGCATGCCATGCCAATCTTAGAGGCCGCGCCTATGTGTCGACACCCCACCGCACCCAGCCCCACGCCCACCTTGTCCTCCTTGCGCCGTTTAGTTATCCAACCCAGTTACCCAGCCAAACCGGTGTGTGCCCACCCCATCTGTGTGTGCCACCTGCAGGCCGCCCTCTACTCCGTGCTCGCCTACAACGCCTGCCTGGGCGGGGCGGTGACGCGGGCGGAGGATGCGGGGGAGGACCTGGCGGCGGCGGTGCAGCAGTACGACCAGGAGTTTGGCCAGCTGTACCAGGAGAAGGTGGCGTACATGAAGCGCACGGCGGCGGCAGAGGTGGGTGTCAAATATTCATTTCAAATAGTGTGTGTTATGCGCATTATGTGTGCATGTGTGTGGTGGTTGTGTTTGGGAAGGGGTGGGTCGCTGGTGTGTCCCATGTGTGTGTGCGCGTGTGTGTGTGCGTTTTGAGCGCCAGGGCAGAGCGCGGCGAGGTAGGCGGGCTGGCCAGCGTGTGCCGTGTGAACCTGGCTGGCTGCTGGCTGCTTGCAGGGAGGGCTGGCCCAGTACGAGGCTCAGGTGGAGCACCTGCAGGCGCGGCTGGCGGCGGCGGAGAAGGTGGGCGCGTGTGGGTGCCATCCTGGCCTGCCTTGGCGGCATGCTTGTGTGTGTGTGTGTGGGCACGGCGCTCAGCTCGCTGCCAGCTCCCGCCGCGTGCGTGCAGGCGCTGCAGCAGCAGGCAGAGGCGCAGCAGGGCACGCCCGGGCGCTGGGGGTCCCTGGGGCGACTGATCAGCGGCGGCGGGCGCTCGCCGGCTGGCGGCGGCGGCGGCGGCGGGCCCGACTCCCGCCGCTCCTCCCTCACAGGCTCCCCCAGCACCTCTCCGCGCTTCTCTGGCGGCGGCAGCGGCCACCCGCAGCAGCAGCTGTTTGGCTCGCCCTCGCCCTCCCGTCTGGGCCAGCAGCAGCAGCAGCAGCAGGAGAGGAAGCAGCAGCAGGCGGGCTCGGAGGAAGGCGCGGGGGCAGCTGCAGGCCGGCGCATCACTGTGGCGGCCGTGCAGCAGACAGAGTCGGCGACGGCGGCGGCCGCCGCGGCTGTGCTGGCCAGCAAGCAGAGCAAGGCGGCCGCGGCGCTGCTGGCTGGCGGTGCGGCAGCAGAGCAGGATGGGGGCCCGCTGATCAAGGCCGTCGGGCTGGCCGCCACGCCACCAGCGCCTACTGCACAAGAACAGCCGCAGGCGCTCCCCAGCAAGCTGCGCCTGCTGCAGCCGCAGGCAGCTGGTCGGCCGCAGGAGCAGGCGGCTCAGCAGCGGGAGGCGCAGCAGGAGCCGGAGCCTGCGAGCGGGGGCTGCATGCTGCAAGATGGCGAGCAGCCAGTCTCGGCAAGCAGCGATGTGGAGACTCCTCTGGAAAGCCCAGAGCTGTCATGCATCGTGGCAGACAGCACTCACAGCAGCGCAGGCCTGGAGGGCCCAGCACCGGAGCCAGCAGCTGCAGGGGCTGCTGCCGTGGCGGAAGGCGGGCAGCAGGAGGGCGTTGCTGCAGCTGTAGCGCAGGCGGATGTAGACATGGCAGAGGCGGGGAGCGAGGTGCAGGAGCAGGCTGCTCAGCCGGCCGAGCAGCCGCCGCAGAAGCAGCAGCCTGGGCAGCCCCCGGCGGCGGCGGCCGCACAGCAGCAGCCAGCGCAGGTGCCAGAGTGGCTGAACATGAAGGTCTTGGTGCCTGCGGCGGCGTTGGGCCGCAGGGGCAGGGGCGGAGCCGCCTCCCGCGGCTACCAGGAGCTTGATCTGGACCCCCACACCGGCACCTTCTCCCTGCCAGACAGCGAGGCCCTTGTGGACCCACTGCCCGGTCTCCTCAAGGTGAGTGGTTCAGCTTCAAGCTTCTGCGTTCAGCATTGCCCATTCGAGTGTGCGGCACCCGCCAGGCCGACAGCAAGCAAGCGGGGGATGTGTTTAGTGGCCTGTTTTTGTTTGATTGTTTTATCAATAGATCATTGCGCAGTTTGAGTTTCCTTGCTTCCCGGCCCCTGCTGCCGCAGGCGATGCCGGCTGGCGAGCCCTGGCAGCGCGGCGTGCTGCTCAAGGCGCTGTCGCCCGCCGGCGGCCAGTTCCGGGCGACGGGCGTCACGCTGGAGCGGTGGCAGCAGCGGCGCATGCTGCGGGCCGGCCGCTGCCACTTCTGCTGCCTGTGAGTACCCGCTCGCCTCCCTCCATTTCCCGCCTCCCCTCCTGCCCTGCTGTCGACTCCAGAGCTGGCGCCTCTGCTGCTCCCTCCCCACCGCTGCATGCCTGACCCTCCTGCCTTGGCTGCCGCCGCCGCAGCGAGGCGCCCGACCCCGCCCTGCGTCACCCGGAGGCGGCCTTTGCAGCGCTGCGGCTGTGCGGCGACTGCCACGCGACACTGGAGCCTGACTCGTGGCGCACGTGAGCTGGGCCCTCCCTGGCTGGGCGCCGCAGCACTCCTTTCGTGATAAGGCGTCGCTGGCTGGCTGCGGCTACCACGCAGGGCTGGCGCCACCCGGCGACCGGTGCCCGGTGGACTTCCCCTGCCGCGTGCGTGCCCCTGCCCTGCCAGACCTCACTGGGGCCGCGCTGTGCTGCTGCTGGCGGGACGCAGGGGCGAGGTGTGGAGGTCGCAGGACCCTGCAGATCCTGGATACCAGTACTGCCTCATGTGTGGCGGCGCAGGTGGGCTGGGCGGGCGGGCGTTGATCGGAATTGGCGGGCATGGGCAGCAGGGCGGCGGTGTGTGGCATTGGGCGGCATTGTGTCACTGGGCATCGGTTCCAGTGTTGCTAAGCATTGGCTTAAACATTGGCCATGCGTTGTGCCTGGCAACGCACGCCGCAGGCGTGGGCTGCACCGAGCATCTTGTGATGTGCGCAGACTGCCAGCAGTGCGGCTTCTGCACCGGGTGAGGCCGGAGGGGGGCGCCGCTGCTGCTGCCGCTGCTGGGTGGTCGGCGCCGGATTCCCCTTCATATGCTTCTTCGTTCTGCTTGGCCCCTGGCAGCCTTCGGCTGACAGGCACTCCCCGCGCTCCCTCCCACCTGCCCTCCTCCCTCCGCGCCCTCCCGCAGCTGCCTGTGGCGCTTCTCGGGCGATGATGTGGCGGCTCTGATGCGAGACGACGCCCCCTTCACCTGCCTGCTGTGCCGCCCAGAGCCACGCCTGCAGCTGCTGTATGCTGAGGATGCCCCCCCAGGCAGCCCGCCGGCCCCGGCACGCCGCCGCGGCACGGGCCGGGACGGCGGCGGCAGCCGGGGCGGGCGCGGCAGCCGGGCTGCCAGCCGGGGCCCGGCGGCGGAGCCTGCGGGCGGCCGGGGGCGCGGCGGCCGGCCGCGGCATGCGGCGCAGCGGGAGCAGACTCCAGAGGAGTTCCGGGATTGCCATTTCATTGTCGATCTCACTGGCGGCAGCAGCGAGGATGAGGAGGAGAGCAGCAGCGCCGCCAGCAGCAGCAGCAGCAGCAGCAGCAGCGGTGAGGAGGCGACGGAGACGCCGCCTCGCCGGCGGCAGCCGGCCTCGCGGCAGCGGCCGCCCCGGGGCGCCGATGCGAGGGGCGGCGCAGCCAAGGAGCGGGCGGGGTCGCAGGCTCCGCGGGGCCGCAGGCCGGCCGGCGGCGCCAAGGCAGCGGCGGGCTCGGCGGCGGCTGCAGCGGCGGCGGCGGTGGCAGATGCCATTCAGGCCCGCAAGCGCAACCGGCTGCTGGCCAAAGGCGATCTGATCGACTCGCCCGGCACCGACGGCGAGCGGCCCGCGCTGCAGCGCCAGCGCATGCTGCACCAGCACCAGCATCGGCGGCTGCAGCAGCTGCACCCGGGCGGCGACGCCGCGGGCGCGGGCGCTGCAGCGGCCGGCGGCGGCGGCGGCGTGTCGACCCAGCCCAGCCTCAGCACACAACTCAGGGACCTCCTGCACCTGTGAGGCCACCTAAGAGGCTACCTTAGTTACACGGCAGCGTCTTGCTGCCCGGCCTGTTACATTGCGCTACTGTTGCATTGCGCTACATGTTTGAGGTTTTCAGTGTTTTCTTTACCTTTAACCGACCTATTTAACGATCAGTTTGATCGATTTAAACGCCCTGGGGCTCTGAATCCAGTGTGAGGTCCACCACGTCGAACTGAGAAGCGCCCTCCCCGCCAGCTGCAGCCCCAGGCTCCCGCTTCACCCGCACAGGCGCGGCGCCGCCGCCCACCAAGTCCACCACCACGCCGCCGCCGCCGGCAGGCCCGTCGGCTGCCTGGCGCCAGCGCCCGCGCCGCATCTCCATGCGGCGGCGCAGGCTACCGGAGGAGGCAGAGGGGCGGTCGGCGCCGGTGCTGTGCATGCTGCGCACGCTGGGTGCCAGCTCAGACAGCGGGCGTCTCGCCGGGCCGCCGCCGGCGCCGCCGGTGCCACCACCTGCCCATCCCTCGCCGCTGCCGTCTCCAGCCGCAGGCCCCTCGTTCTCCTGATCCTCAGAGCCCGCGTCCCCGCCACCCACCTCCTCCTCCGCCGCCGCATCAGCGCCCTGGCCGTCCTGCCGGCTGCCGGGCCCGCCGCTGCTGCTGCTGGCGGCAGCGCCAGCGGCATCATCGCCGCCGCCGCCTTCGCCCCGCCGTGGCTCGCTTTGCTCGGGTGCCGCCCCCTCCTGCCCCTCCTCCTCTGCCGCCTCTGCCATCGCGGCATCCTCTGCTGGGCCCTCGCCGGCCGCCTCCTCCTGCTGCAGCTGCTGGCCGGCCGCCGCGGCAGCTGCAACATCCGCAGCCGCCGCCTCCCGCTGCTCCCGCAGCTGGGCTGCCGCCTCGCCCGCGGCCGCTGCCCCCGCGGCCAGCGCCTGCTGCTGCTGGGCCGCCCACATGGCCGCGATGTGCTGCTGCATGGCCAGCTGAGCCTGGTGCTGCACCGCGTGCACGTGCGCCCAGAGGGCCGCAGGGTCTGCCGGCGGGTGCACCCCTGCATGCCCCTCGGCATCCGCATCTGCATCAGACTCCTCCTCCTCATCCCCATCCTCGCCCTCCTCCTCGTCCTCCTCATCCTCATCATCATTCTGATCCTCATCCTGCTCAGGAGCCCTCCCAAGGAAGTCCCAAGGGTTGAGCGGAGCTCCTGGGGAGCGCCTGGGGCCACGACGGCGCTCGGCCTGCTGCTGGTGCTGCTGCAGCTGGTGCTGCTGCGGAGACGGCGGCGGCGGCGCCAGCAGGGTGGGCAGGTTGGGGCAGGGCGCCGCGCCGGCGGCCTCGCACACCGCCGCCGCCTGGGTGGCGATCGCGGCCAGCGCCGCCACCGCGGCGCCGCGCTGCTGCTCGTCGCTGGGGGGCTGCTCCCTGCGGGCCGGGCAGCAGGGTGGCGGGGCAGGAGGGAGGGGGTCAGGAGGGTGGGCGCACTGAACCCCACTGCTGTGCACTCCCACAGGCAGCCCCAGCACGGCATGCATGGTTCAAGGCAGGCTTGCTTGGTACTGGCCAGTACCACACGCCGACCCAGGGCTGCCCAGCTGCCAGGCAGCTGCGGTGGCTCACCAGAGGACCGAGAAGTGGGAGGCCAGGCGGGCCAGCATCTGCCCGGCCAGCTTCTGCACGCCCGCATACAGGGCTGCACGCAGGGCCGGGAGGGGAAGGGTGTGGTGTTGGGGGTTGGGTTGGAGGGGCGGAGCCCAGTGCCCTGGATTCCCTGGCAGCGGCAGTGCAGGTATGGGCGACCCAGGTGGCGCTCACTTAACATCCGCATCAGCCCACCAGCGGCAGCCCCTGCACCGCCCGCCCACCTGCCACCACGTGCCGCAACTCCTCCCGCAGGCGCTGCGCCGCGTCCACAAACATGCGGCCCTGCTCGCGCTCCACGTGGCACCGCATGTGGCGCCGCATGCGGTCAAACTGCGGCGGAGAGAGAGCTTCCGCTTGTGCCCATCACCGGCAAACGTGGCTCCTTGTGCCAACCGCCTAACCACCACCTCAACCCCACCACCAACTCACCACCGAAATTCCCACTCAGTGCGTGCGCATGGCGGGGCCAGCCGAACGCGTCTGCCATGTGCCCACCACCCCCACCACCACCTCAGCCACACACCACACCATCACCACCGCCCCCGCGGCTGACAGCTGCCACCCACCATGCCGCCCCCCATCTCCGCGGTGCACAGCTGGTACGCCTCGCTCATGTGCTCCTTCACCTGCAGGGGCAGCAGAGATCGCTCAGTCCGGCGGCGGGTGAGCGGCAGAGGCAGGACCGCCAGCGGGGAGGGGGGTGTTAGCGCCGGGAGCGGCCACCCACGTAGGCCGCGCCGCGGCCCGGCCCAGCCCGGCGCAGCTTCCAACCCCCCAGGGAGCGCCGCTTCAAGCGGCGCATGCAGGCGGCGCCAGCACGGCGCCAGCTGGCGGGCAGCTGGCGGGCAGCTGGCGGGCAGCTGCCGGGCAGCTTCACCGTGGGCTTGATGACGTCACGGGACAGGTCCCGCTGCTTCTCTGCCACGGGGCCCAGCATTGCATCCACAGCCTCACTCAGGCGCCGCCCCTCCTCTTGCAGCACCTGCAGGCGGCGGCGACGCCGGCGGGGATGGCGGCGGGCGAGGGCGCCGGCGCCGGCAGCAGCGAGGCGAGGCGGTGAGCAGGGGGCCGGCACGCCGCCGAACGGAGCAGCCCCCCACACGCGGGCAGGCGAGCGTCTGGCGGCCCGGCGAGGCGGAGGCATTGCCCGGTGTGCTGCTGCATCCCCGCAGCGGCTGGCACGCGCACCTGGTGGCACAGGCGGTCGATGCGGAGGGCGTCCAGCCCCGCAGCCGCCAGAGAGGCCCTCACCGCCTCCAGTGCCCCGCCCAGCGCCGCCAGCGCCAGGGAACGGAAGCCGCTGCGGGGGCGAGGGAGGATAAAGGACGGAAAGGATAAAGGGGCGGGTTCGGGGAGCGGGGTGAGGAGGAGGGGGCGAGGAGGGGAGGGCAGGGTTGGGGTGCAGGAGCCAGCTGGGGAGGGGGTGGTCGTGCCGGCAGCCAACAGCGGCGGTCCTGCCAGCCGGCAGCAACGACGTGGCAGGCGGGACGGCGAAGCCAGGCGGGGGCCGTCGCCTCACCGCAGGTGTGTGGCGATCTTGGCGCCAAAGGTGTTGTCCCACTCCACGGCGATGCTGTCCAGTATGGGGGCGGCTGCAGGCATGGGCAGGTGGGGCAAAAGGGGGGCAGATGGGGCAAAAGGGGGCAGCGGCAGGAGGGAGGGAGGGAGGGAGAGGGGGGGGATGAGCGGCGCGAGGGAGAGGGGAGAGAGGGGAACGGCGAGGTCGGCTGGGAGGGAGGGATGGAGAGAGTGGGCGCAGAGGGCATGCACTGGCGGGGCTGGGTGCTGGGGCAGCCCATCCCTCTCCTGCCACCGCCGCGCCTCCCCGCAAAGGGCCCCCCCTGCTCACCCAGGTCGCCGTTGAAGCTGATTTCGCCCGCGGTCGGGCTGGTGTAGTCGCCCCCTCGCTTGACGGTGGCCTGCAGGGAGCAGCGGGGATGCGACGGTGCGGGTGGGATTATGCTGTGAAGGGAGGCGAGTAGGCACGGGTAGTGGTAGTGTGCGTCCTCCGCTGCCTGCACCCGCCGCCAGCGGAGCGCTGCTCGCAGGGGGAATCAATCCCGATGGCGCCCTCTCCTCACCTTGTAGGTGCCCCAGTAGAGCCCGCCCCCGACCCTGCCGCCCCGGCTGCCCGCGGCGCGCATCACAGGCGCGCCCCAATTCACAGCCGTCGCCACAGCCTTGGACTCGGCGCGCCCCGCGCCTGCAGGGTCACAAGGCGAGGGCATGCCAGGCCGACGTCGACATTAGCAGCAGCTGCCGCATGTGGAGACGCCATGCAACAAGCCCAGACATTGTGGTGAGCAGCGGCAGCTGCTGCTGCTGCTGTGGCAATAGCAGCGGCAGCTGCTGCTGCTGCTGCACGGCCAGCGCACCTGACTCAATGCGCGGGCTGAGCCCCTCGCTCAGCACCAGAGTGTCCAGCTGCTCGGCCCAGGCCTTCAGCCTGCAAGGAGACATACGCATGGGTTGCTGGTCAGAAAAATGATCCACTTGTTTCTTGCAAAACAGCAAAGGCTCGGAGGCGGCGTGCCCTTCCCCAAACCGAAGGCACTGCGTGGCAGAGGCAGCTGGCGTCAGCTGGCACCAGCTGGCGCCAGGCGGGCGCCTGCAGTACCTTTTCTCCAGCTCCGCCTGCAGCTGCCCCGCCTGCTCCTCAAACGCCTGCTTCACCGCACCGCCAAGCTCCCCTTCCAGCTCCCGCTGCAGCAACATCCAGGCAGAAGCGGGAACGGCGGTCGCAGCCAAGCAGAGGCAACCATCGCCAAGGGCGCGGCTAGGAAGCGCTGCAGACGGCAGGCCAGCGCTGCGGCGCCAGGTCAGCCCACCTGGTCCCGCAGCAGAAGCGCGGTGGACACCACAAACGAGCTCAGGCTGGCGGCCAGGCTGCGCGCGGTGTGGATGCGGCCCCTGCACGACAGCAGCAGCACACACACACAGCACACCGCATGCTCTATCGACATTTGTGCTAGTGCAGGAGGTAGCCAGCCAGGCTGCGTTCTGCGTCCATCACCCAAGACACCAAGGGGAGACGGCCAGGCACCCCCAGCACCACGCCCCCGCCCACCTGCGCGCAATGTCGTGCACATGCTCCCTCAGCGCCGGCACCTCTGTATGTTCCAGGCGGCTGAAGGCGCCCGTGGGGCCGTCGCGGCGGCACCGCCCCTCCAGCTTCTGCAGGCGAGTAAGAGAGGCGGCTGTGTGGGTGAGTGCGCGGGGTAGTGGAGCGCCTCGCCAAGCAGGCAAGAGTGGCAGACCTGCTGCCTGCTGGCGCAAGGCTGGCAAGCCAGTTGGCGGCTGCAGGTGCGTTCCTGCTGCCTGCCGCCTGCTGCGGCAGCGCCTGCTTGCCTGGGCATCCCGGGCAGAGATGCAATAGACGGGGAGGTCCAGGTCGGCCGCCGCCAGCGCCCGCACGCCGCCAGAGCCCGCCTCCACCGCCTCCACGCCCTCCCTGAGGAAAGGCGAGCGGCAGGTGCCCCCGGGATCGCATGACCGAGTTTCACTCGCAGCCCCTGGCATCCCAACAGCAGCACTGCGCGCATGCACCCGCGGCCAGCAGCATGCGGCACCGCCTGCAGCAGCCCGGTCCTGCAGTACTGAGGCAGCAGCAGTAGCAGCAGCCCCCACCTGAAGTCCCGTTTGAGCTGCTCCTTGGAATAGCCATTGCGCGCTCTGGCGCAGATGCTGTTGAGTTGGACCTGTGGTTGATGGGAGGGCCAGCAAGCGGGGCAGGCAAGTGAGGAGGCAGGACTGCAGCATCTTCCAAGGTTTGTGGTGTCACAAGCGGTGCCCTGTCCGCATGCGGGGCGCCCACGGGCGGCCATCCACATCGACAGGCGTGCCAGTAACCCCACCTGCAGCTTCTGCAGCTCGCGCTTCACGCCGTCCAGCCGGCCGCGGTGCTGGCGCTTCTCGGCCTCAGCCTCCTTGCGAGCGCCGCGCGCCTTCTCAAGCTTCTCCAGCACCAAACGCCGCTCCTGATGGTGACGGCCAAGAGGGGCAGGAGGGAGGAAAGTGGGCATGTGAGGCACAGGGGCATGAGGAGGGAGAGCAGCAGGCACAGGCACAGGCGCTGAGGTTCGGCTGTTGGGCAGAGAAGGCGCAGCAGCGGTGCGGGATGGGTGCGCCAGACGCTGCTGCGCAACCCACCTGCTGCAGCTGCAGCACTTTCCACTTCCCGTACTTCTTCCTGCCCTTGGTGCGCCCCTGCTTCAGGCCGTCCTTGCGTGCCTGCAGGCCAGGGGTGCCGACCAACAGTCACCAGCAGGTGCAGGTGCAGCCGAGCGCAGCAGACGGCAGCGCCGAGGGGTGGGCAGGATATGCAGCAAGCGGCGGATCAGAGAGCGGCAGCGCTGCCATCCCATCCCATACAAGCCCAACCCAGCCCTGCACCTTTTCGAGGCTGATCTGCTCATCCCCATCCTCCATTTCTTCCTCCGAATCCGACTCAGAGCCGCTGTCCTCATCATCATCCATGGCATCCTCCTCATCCTCGGTGTCACCCACGATCTGCAGGAGGCAGGAGCAGGAGGGTAAATGGGTGGGCGCGGCAAGCAAGAGGCACAGCGGAGGAAGCCGGCAGCAGGGCAGATGAACGGCAGGTGGCGGCTGCCCAGCCCGTCGCACCCCAGGCAGGCCCTTACACAGCCGGGCAGCTGCAGCATGCCGCCAAACAGGAGGTCCCGGAAACAGCAGCCAGGGTCCACCCACCAGTGAGCCGCCCTCCTCCTCTCCAGGCGCCGCCTGGTCGAGCCCAAAGTTGCCACCCCGCTCTTCTATCAGTTCCCTGCAAACAGCAGGCAGGCACGCGGCACCAGTGCAGCGTCAGGGGCTGGGCGCAGCGTTGGCGGCCGAAAAGCTGAAGGGCAGACACGAGACGAATTGGCATCCGCTTGGGATGGGCAATGGGTGATGCGTATGTGCGTGTGTGTGCGCATTTGGTCAGGAGTGGCGCTGTGGTTGGGGAGGCGGGGAGGCAGAAGGCTTCTGCCTACCTGATGACCTGCAGCCGCCCATCGCACTCTCCCGACTTCTTCAGAATCCTCTTGACCGCCTGCGGGGGCAAGCAGAGAGGAGCCAAGCAGTGGGTGTGGGGGCGTGGGCATGGGCATCAGCGCCAGCATGCTGGGCTGGCCTGTCAGCAGGCCGCCGGCTGCCATCGCCACCTTGCAACGGCTCGGCTGCAGTGCAGCTGAGCGGGCACACAGTTAGCAGCCTTGCATGCACACCTTCAGGCTGGTCATGTAGAGGTGCTCCAGGTCGCTCTCCTGGTCCCGTTTTGCTTCCACCTGCAGGGCTTGAAGGCACAACAACAACACTCAGGGCAAGGACACCCCGGACCGCTGCTGAGCAACAGCTATGCGCGCTGCCAGCTGAGAGTTGTGGGCATGTGCAGCCTCAGGCAATGGCAGGCGGCAGCAGGCAGGCTGCCCCTACCGCATCGTCCAGCCTGATGAAATCATCCACAGGAGTCTCTGCAGGCAGACGGGCGTACAGAATGGAGAGCTTAGAGTGGCCAGGGCTTGGCCAGCAGGGTCAGCCGTTCAACAGCTGCTGGCACCAGTGCGGCGGCCACGGTGCTGCCGCCGCCATCACCGCCCACCTGTCCGTGCGCAGATCTCGTCCACGCCCAGCCCCTCGATCGCCTCGCGAGGCATGATGTTGTCAGCCTGCAAGCCGGCGGCAGCAGCAGCAGCGCTGCCGGCCCTCAGAGTGGCGAATTGCACCCGTGTTGGTGCTGTCGCCTGCGGCTGCGGCTGCGGCTGGCACCAACGCCTCCTCCCACCAAGCTGGCACGCAGACCCGAGAGCTGAAAGCTCCCGCTGCACCTTGGTGCACACAAAGGAGATGCAGCCAAACTGGCCATCCATCATCATCTGCCGCCTGAACTCGTCGCCCAGCATCTCCTGTGGCGCGCAGCGGGCGGGCAGCAGGGTGGGGTGGGTTGCTTAGGAAGGGGAAGGGATGCTGCCGGGGCCGGGGCACCAGCCCAGCTGCGGCGCAGCCCACCCCGGCTGCCTGAGCGGCAGCCGGTCCTCGTCCCGCCTCCCCGCCCTTCCCTGCCAACACCCCTGCGAGCACGCACCTTGGCGGTCTTGTTGTCCACGGCGCGCGTGATGTCGGCGGCCACCCAGATGGCGCTGCACTTCTGCGGGCGGCGGGCGGCGGGCGCCGCGCTCGCTGGGTCAGCAGCGCCGGCCTCGACCTCGTGGCACGCCCAACCAACCACCCATCCAGCCACCCATCCAGCCAGGCCCCCTGGCGACCCACCCACCCATCCTGCCTCCCAGCCAGCCATGCAGACCCCACACGCCCACCCATCCACACATCCAGTCCCCAGCCTTCCAGCCCAGCCAGCCTACCCTGAGGTATGCCTCCGCCACCTTGCCGCGCGCCGCGTTGGCATCCCTCACGCCCGGCAGATCCACCAGCATGGCGCCGGTGGCCAGCACCGGCCAGCTATGGGAGATGCGGCACACCCGCACCAGCGGCCAGGTGGACACGTCGTCGCCGCGCCTGCGGGGAGGTGGGTGCGAGGGGGAGCAGGGCGGGCGCAGGCGAGGAGGGAGGACTGGGGAGAGAGACGCATGCGCTTGCAGGCGCGGCAGCTGCAGTTCAGACCACGGAAACTCAGCCACCCAAGACATCCTGCTGGGCATGCTGTGCTGCCACATCATCAGTCAGAAGCACCACCCAGCGCCACAGCTCCAGCCAGCTCTTTACCTGTTGTTGCTGTCCACATACTTTCCAATCATCTTTCGGAACTCCTTGGCGCTGTGCTCCCGCACCCGAATCGTCTCGCCCAGGTGCCTGCATGCGCGCGTTGCATTTCACAATGCAACACGGCAAAGCAGAGCACAGCGCAGCGCAGCACCATGCCAGCATGGCAGCCCCACCTGGTGGCCGAGCTGCGCGCGCTCAGCAGCTGCTCCAGGGTCACCCCGCTGTGGCGGCGTACCAGGGGCTTGCCAAGCACAGATTCCAGCACGGCCTGCGCAGGCAGAAAAGGCGAGGCTCTTCAGATGTGGTGTGCGCCGATGGGCAGCATCGGCGCCACCCACATCATCAAGCAGCCTGCTGGGTGGCTGCCCGAGTGCAGGACAGCAGGTTGGCAAAGGCCGGGGAGCAGCAGCGGCGCAGCCAGGAGGCCACCTGCGCGGCTCCATGCATGGATCGGCCATCTGGGTTGCGCTCGCCACGGGTGATCTGCAGGGGAGGGGCGTCGCAGGCGGGGGTCAGAGATGGCCTGGCAGGCAGCACCGGGGGGGCTGCATCAGGGCAACATCTGCTGTCGCTGTCGCTCAGCGGAAATGACAGGTCATTGCTCCACTCCAGTGCATTGGACAACCCCAGGCAGAAGGACAACCCCAGCCAACAAAAGCCGAACCTGCGGCTGCCCATCCTCCCCCAGCAGGTCGTGCCACAGCCCCTCCACTTGCTGGGCCCACTCCTCCTGCACAGCGCAGCGCAGCGCAGGCCAGGTTCAGCATCCCAAAGTGGGTCCCATTGCTCTCCAGCCTCCACACCATCCATAACCTCTGCTCTTCACCTCTGCCCCACCCCCGCCCACCCACCTGCGTCACAAACTCGATTTCTGCTGAGTAGGCGTGGCCAGGCGCGTAGGATACCTCCACCACGCACGCGGTACAGGCGCGCATGCCGTTCTGCGGCAGCACCTCCTCCTCGCCCAGCAGGGCGTTCAGCATGGAGCTCTTGCCCGCCCCCGTGTCGCCCACCACCCCAATCACGATGGGCCTCATCTCGCTGCGGCAGGCAGGCAGCAGCGCGGCACGCACGGCGCGCGTTTGCGACCGAGGCGGCGGCTGCGGCGGCGATCATGGAGGCGGCGGCGGCGGCGGCGGCGGCGGCGGCGGCTCGCATGGGCCCTTTGCTGTGCCACCACACCCCCAACACGCCGCAACCACATACGCCAACAGACCGCAGCCAACCAAACCTGCGCTGCTGCATGGCATCCACATCCGCCAGCCAGGCAGCGGCACGCTGAGCTGTCGCCAGGCTGCTGCCGGTACCGCCGCCTTGATCGAAGAGCACGGCCCGCACATCCTGCAGCAGCTCGCCGCACTGCCGCACCGTGGCGCCGACCACGTCGGCAGCCACAGAGCCGGCGCCGGGGCGTGAGGCGCGGCCGGAGGGCTTGGGAGGCGGTGCAGCAGTCGCGGCTGCAGCAGTCGCGACTGCAGAGGGCACTGCCAGAGGGCCGGCAGCTGCTGCCGTGTCAAGCTTCAGCGGCTGTGCCTCGGCAGGCTGCTCCCAGCCGGGCTGCCCAGCCCCAGCAGCTGCAGGCTGCTCCTGCCCCTGCTGCTCCTCCTGCTGCTCATGACCACGCAGAGTCTCCTCCGCAGCCTCCTCTGCCGCAGCCTCCCCTTCCTCCTCCACCTCCTCCTCCTCCTCTTCTGCCTCCTCTTCCGCCTCCATAAACCCCACCGCCTGCAGGAAGAAAGAGCGAGACAGCTGCCCTGAGCCGCCCAGCTGCATGTGCGGCATCGTGGCAAAGGACCTGGTGGCAAACAGCAGCCCTGGGTGCACCTGGGTGGGCGGAATGAGCGCCGCGGCGGGCGGCTGCCGCCGCTGCGCGTCCTCCTCGCTCGCCGTGTCGCCTCCTTCGCCTGCTGGCGCTGCGTCTGAAGAGGCCGGGGAGGCTGCTGCACCAGCCTCTGCCGCCGTCGGCGCAGGTGCCGGGCCGCCGTCGTTGCCGTCGCTTTCCTCAGCGCCATAGGGGTCGAGCACTTGAGTCTCAGCATACAGCATCAACTCCCGGGGCTGCTGCCGCTGCTGCCACTCCTGCTGCTGCTCCTCCTGCTGGGGCCCCAGCTCCTCCCCAGCCTCCCGCATCTCTGCATCGTGCGGCGGCGGCGCCGCCCCGCTCACCGCAGCGCCAGCTACCGATGCCGTCCCATCAGCATCTGCCAGCTTCTGCCGCTTTGATGCTGACTCTGGGGCCGCAACCGCTGGAGCGGCGGCTGTAGCAGGCTCAGCCTCCTCCTCGGCAGCCCGCTTGACCTGGCTGGTGGATGCGCCAGCCTGCAGGCAGGGGCACGAGGGGCAGGGAGGCGGGCGGGCATGATGGATGGACAGCTTGTGGGGTGTGGGGCGGCCTTGTGCCAGACGCGCCATGGCTGCTCACCGTCGCAGGCAGGCCCGCCGTAGCTGGGTGCAGCGCCCTCGGCACAGCCGGCGTCGCCATGCCGTCGCCAGCAGCGGCGGCGGTGCGGCCGCCTGTTGCAGGCAGCACCGCCAGGCGCGCGCCCGTCAGCGCGATGGGGGTGGCATCCATCGCCGATGGCTGCAGCAGCAGAGAAGCAGCAGGCAGGGCCCAGGCTTCACTGGTTACGCATGGCATGCTACCTACGCCACACGCACACATTCTGGCGAGCTTGCAAGTGCACTGCGGCTGCCAGGGCACGGCACGGCACCGCCCTGCTCGCTCACCTGGATGCGGGGCGGGGTCTTGAACTCGGAGACAATGTACGCCCAGTCCCCCGGCTTGCCGTGCTGCGCGTCCGTCGGGACGAGCTCCAGCTTGGTGCCCCTCCCTGCACCAGGGCAGGCAGCATGAGCGGCGGCGCCGGCGTGGACGGGCGGGACGAGGCGCAGGCTGGACGCCGATTGGGAGAGTAAAGTCAGGTGGCCGGCTGGCATGAGTCCCTTCAGGGACCAAAGCTCGAGGTGCAGCGGTGCATGGTGGGGGAGGCGCAGCAGCACAGCACTGCATGTAGCGGCACCACAAGCTGGCTGGGGCCGATGTCACGTCGAGCCTGACCGCTCACCGATGTCGCCCAGGCTGTCCCCCAGCTCAAGGGTCTCCCTGGCCATGCCCTTCCTTTGCACTGCAGGGAGCGAAGGAAGTACAGCGGGGAAGGGCTGGTCGGGCGTACGGAGCAGTGCAGGAAGTGGGCGGGGCACGTGCGGCCACCACGGTTCAGTGCGAGGCGGCGGCTCCGTGCCTCACCTGCCAGTGTCGCTGCGTCTGTCATCCACGTGACGACCAGCAGTCCAGGCCCTGCAGTCTCCACCTGCAGGATCAAGAATGGCGGCAGGCTGTGGGTGCTGCCGCCAGTCAAACGCCGTTCAAATGCAACGGGTACCGTTGCCCGCCGCTGCCACTTGCCAGCGCAGCCTGCTCTGTGGCGTCCCATGGCACAGGAAGCTCCAGCTCTCCACGACACGGCTGGAAGTTGATCACGGACAGGTCCTTGCGGCGAGGGCCAACTGGAACCAGGCGAAGAAGGCCCTGCGACGCCATGCCGCCGATTTAGCGCCGTGGGCTTTAACGGTGCTGGCCAGTTGATCGGCAGTGTCCCTGACCGATCCAGGCGTCCCGCTGCGGGAGAGCACCCGGCCAAAGTTTGAGTCGCAACCCAGAACTAGCGGGGACTCCAGCACACGCGGAGGATCACTGGGGACTAATGAGGGTTGATGAAAGGGATTGGATGGCACCCAGGTTCAAGTGCTAAGCAAACATATCTTGCCGCCGCCGCTGGGCGGCATGCTGGGCCGCCGCCCGCCGGGCAGCCGGCGCAAGCCCGTTGTAAGAGTGCAGATTCTTATCCACGAAGCACGGTTGGGCATCTCAGCTTGCAATGTGTTTAACGCATTCAAGGCCACACGCACAGCACTCACAGGAATGATGTCGCCGGATGGCGCCATGGCACCGCCAGCGCCACGTAGCATGCGAATCAGCCGTGGCCAATGGCCTCGGGCGGGCACAATTTGCATCACGCCTGCCTAGATCGATCGTGGCATTGAACGTCGTCAAGCTGAGAGGCCTCTAGGAGGGGATCCCAGCGCATTGCATCCTGAGTCCGCCCAAGCGCCTCGGCGACGTAGGCACACTGATGGAGAATTGATCCGAGAGCCCCGGCGCAGTCATGGCCCCCGGCAAGAAGAAGAGCCCGAAGAGGGAGGGTCAAAAGGTGCGCAGGAGGGGGTCCGCGGGTGCCGCCCTGGTCTGCCAGCGCGCGAGGAGGCGCGCTGCGCTTCCTGCGATGCTGCATGTCTGCATCGCCGCCGCCGCCGCCGCCGCCGCCAGACCGCCGCCACCGTCACTCTGCTTCTGCGTGCGCGTCATTGAGCCGCGCCGACTTGCTGGCCTGTGCAGGATGCTGGATCGGGCGGCGGCAGTGAGCAGGGGCAGACCCGCGAGGCCCAGCAGCAGCGCGCCCAGCTGGTCAGTGGCTGCCACACTGCTGCAGCTGGTGCCTGTTGCGAGCGCCTCGCCCCATGCAAGGCAGCCAGCAGTTATCCGCCTCTGCTTGGCCCGCCCTCTCCCACCCCGCAGATCAAAGCCTACCTCCAGCACCGGCTGCAGCAGGGCGAGGCGGCAGCGGCGGCACAACGCGATGGCGCCGCCGCCCGGGAGTCAGCTGCCGGCAGCGAGCAGGCCGCGCTGGAGCGCCTGGCCCCGGAGTGCCGCCTGTCGGTGCTGGACCTGCGGGGCGCGATCAAGAGGGCTGCCATGAACAAGCACCTCAGCAAAGACAAGGTACAGGCGGCGGCCTGCCATGCCGCCATGCGCCGCTCGCCAAGCGCGCTGCGTGCATGCTCGAGCGCAGCCGCCCGCGCGGCAGTGCGCGGCAGCCCGCGCCCCACGGCGGCTGGGGGCCACAGCAACGAGGCGCGCCGGCTGCGGCAGGCTGTGTGGGTAGCAGCTTCTGGGTGTGTGCCGGCGCCCCACGCAGCCCCTCGCGCGCCGACCGTGCCCGCGCTTTCCTTTCCTCCCTGTACTGCACACCCCCCCGGGCCCTGCTGCAGGAGAAGCTTCTGCTGGAAATTGCCTCCAAGCTGGAGCAGCATGGGCCTGTGGCCTACCAGACCGCCGCATCGGCCCTGCGGACCCGCAGGCACGGCGAGCGCGGGCTGGCCGGAGTGGCAGGTGCGGGGGGGCGGGGCCGCCGCCGTGTCGCGGCCCTGGCGGGGCGGCAGCGGGTGCCAGTGCCGGGCAGGTGGCGGTACCGGGTGCGTGGGAGCGGGGGGTCCGAGCGCGCCGCGCGGCCCATGCTGCGCCGCGGGGGCAGCGTGCCCGCGCGCCAGCCCGCACTGACGCCAGGCGCCGCAACCCGTGTGTGTTGTGATTGGCAGATGCACAGGTGTTTGATGCCCGCATCGAGGAGGAAGAGCTGCGAGACAAGGCGGGGCAGTTGGCGCGGGTGAGCCACTTGCCGGCGGCTGGCTGGTGCCTGGCTGGGCACCTCCTGGCCTGGCGGCAGCGCCTGCTGGCGGCGGGCCGAGGTGGCCACACCTGCAGGCTTGGGTTGGGAGGAGGAGGTGTGCCCCTCCCCGCTTGCCCGCCACACCGCACCGACCCAGCAGCAGCAGGGCTGACATGCCGCATGCTGCTGGTCTGCTTGCTGCAGATAAAGGCGTACCTCAGCCGGCCGGGTCCTGCACGCAGTGTGGCCGAGGCAGCCCACGAGATTGGTCTGGAGCTTGGGAGCCCGAATTTTGTGGGTCGCCGCCGCCGCCGCAGCGCTGCCCGCCGCCGCGCCGCCGCCGTAGCCCTGCCGCGTGCCGCGCGCGCCTCCGTCGCCGCCGTCGCTGTGCTGCCGGGGGCTGAGCGCGCGCGCCCCGCTCTGCGTGCATGGGCTTGGCAGCCGTGGGCTGTGCTGGCGGTTGCGTGGCGCTGCGGCGCCTCTGTTGCTGCCCAGGGCATGCCACCATGCTGAGTCGCTCCCTGGGCACGTGGCGGCGCAGGGCTTGTGGATGGGGCACAGCTTTCTGCGCCACCCTCTGCCGCACATCTCCAGCCTGCTGCCCTTCTCGATGGCGGGCGCCGACGTCATGGTGATACCGGAGGTGCCGCTGACTCGCCTGGCCGCCCGCCTGCACCGCCGGCTGCTCAGCCTGCGCCGCAAGGCCGCCGTGCTGAGCTGCGGCAGCCCTGAGGCGGCGGCGGCGGCGGCGGCGGCGGCGGCGGCGGCGGCGGCGCAGGAGGAGGGGTTCGGGGGCGGCGAAGAGGAGGGCCTGGCTGAACTGCTGGAGTGTCCTTGGAAGGAGCTTGAGAGCATGGCGGGCTTGCTGCAGGACAGCTGCCGGCTTGCAGGCAAGAAGCCTGCCGCGCCGGAGTGGCCAGGGCGGGGCTGGGGCGCAGGTGGCTGCGCTGGCCGCAGCTGCCGGCAGCAGAGGTGGCAGGGCAGCCAACCAGCCAGCCTTTATTCCTGCCTGCCTGCGGCGTCGCCCCCGCGCTCGGCGAGCTTGTGCTGCCCTGCCCGCCCCCTAGCCAGTCTGCAATGTGCATCCCATCATGCCTGCCCCTCCCCTGCCCCTCCCTCCACGCCCGCAGACACCATCACTTCTACGGTGGCCAAGGGCGCGGCGACCGAGCGGCTGCTGGCGAACAGAATCCAAGCGCAGGAGCCCCAGGCACGCCGGGGCTGCCGCCTCCCCGTCCCTCCCATGCTCTCTCGCCTGCCAACCCCATCTTTCTCTCGCCCGATGTGGCCTGACCTTGTGTGCTTGCCACTCGGTCAAGCATGTGTGCTGCCTCCCGACCGCCCTCCCGCCCTCGTCCACCCCGCAGGCGGAGCAGGCGTTGGCTGCCGCGCTGCGTGGCCACATGCTTATGCTGCTGCAGCAGTGCGCGGCCGCCCGCGGCCTGGCCGGAAGCTGCGAGGAGCTGCAGGCGGCGGTGCGGCCGCTGCAGCTGGTCATGGGCAGCCCGACGTCCACGTCCAGAGACCTGGCGGGGGTGGCGTGTGTGCTGGTGAGTGGCCCAGCGCAGCGCAGCGCAGCGCAGCGCAGCGTAGCATAGGTGATCGCAACACACCACACCACACCGCAGCGCAGCGCAGCACAGCGCAGCGCAGGGCAGGCGCATGAACGGATTTTGGTGCCAGGCCCGCAACGCCGTGCCCGGTGCCTGCCCCCCCGGCTGCTCCGCTGCAGGCGTCGGCGGCGCCGACGGCGGTGGATGGGCTGATGACGACGCTGCTGTCACTGGGGGAGCCCCGGGGGGGCACGTTTTGGCGCCAGATGCTGCTGCTGCTGCGCCTGCTGGATCTGGAGCCGCCACCGCAGGCGCCTGGGGCAGGGCAGGCGGGCGAGGAGGGGCAGGAGGAGGAGGAGTTTGATGACGATGAGGAGGAGGAGGCGGCAGCGGCAACTGATGCTGTGGAGGAGGAGGGGCAGCTTCCGTCGGCGGCCGTGCTGCAGGCGGCGGCGCGGCGCCTGGCGTTCAGGCGGCGGCGCCAGCTGGCGGCTCGCATCCTGCTGGCGCTGCACCGCATGCAGGCCCGCCAGCGCCTGTTTGAGGCGTTTGTGATGCCGCTGCTGGAGTGCATCGACAAGCATGCGCAGCTGGGGGTCGGCAGCTCCGCGGCGGAGCACCGCGGCCTGACGGGTACCATGCTGCTGCGCCAGGTGGGCGTCGCGCGGCCGCCGCGCCCCAGCAGTGCAGGCAGGCTGCCTCTGCTCGGCAGGCAGCCAGCGGGCCGCCGCCTGCCGGCCTGCGCCGCCGCGTGCGCGCGCGGCAGGTGTCAAGGGCGAGGGCAGGCACCCTCCAGCCTCCTCCCTCGCCACTCCCTGCCCGCACACCGCGCCCCCACGGCCCCACCCAACGCACCCCGCCCCATGCCCCTGCCGCCGCTGCAGCTCACTCTGCTGCCCTCGGACTGCCTGCTGGCTGCATACACGTATGTTGCGGCGGGGTTTGGGGAGGCCTTCCGCACGCCAGAAGACCTGGGAGGGCCGTCGCCGCTGTTTGCCGACGAGCACGTGATGCGCGCAGAGCTAGGCAAGGCGGACTTTGGGGTGAGCTGGCCGGCTGCTGCGTTGCTCGGGGTGGGTGGTGAGCGGGTCGGCAGCTGGTCGGAGGAGCAGAGCGGCCAGGTGCGGGCTGGTGGCTTGAGGGGTGGCGTGGCGGGCCAGGCTCCCAACCCTGCTCCTACCTGGGGTGCTGGGCCAGCTAAGTAGCCAACCGGTGCGGAGGTGTGCCGGGGCCAACCACGGCGTGTGCTGCGCACAGGCGCGCATGCCGCAAGCTCCCTGCCCCGCTTCCGTGCGCCTGTGTGCAGCAAGCGGCGGCCATCTCTCTGGGCGGCCTGTCCTGGCACCCGCCCGCGCCTGCTGGCGGCCCAGGCCACGCGATGATCGGGGTCAGCCCCTTTGCCGTGCAGCTGGCGCTCCACCAGGTGAGACAGGCTGGGCTGGGCTGGGCTGGGCTGGGCTGGGCATGGGGCAGCAATGCCCTTCGGCAACAGGCGGACACACTGCCCTGCCGTGTGGGAACGCAAGCAAGGGCTGCCGCTGCTGCTGGCTCTCACAAACTCTGGGGCGTCTCTTGGCTGCTGACAGTCGGGCGCCGCATGAACCCTGCCTCCCATGCCGCGCCTGTGCAGCTGCCAACGGCGGCAGGCGAGGCGTCGCCGCCGCCGCACACCGAGCCGGGCTGGTGCCCGCCCTGCGCCGCCGCCGGGAGGGCCGGCGCCACGCCGGCCACCGCCTCTCCCGAGGACTGCCTGGGCGGCCTGGCTGGGCTGGCGGCTGGTGCCCTGCGCATGCCTGTCGGCACCGTGCCGGGGGGCAGCGATGGAGCAGTCATGCTGTGCCTGCAGCTCTTCAGAAATGAGTCGGTGCTGACCCTGGGTGCCAGCGCGCAGGTGCGCCGCCTGCCGTGCGCTGCCTACGCTGCCTGCCGCCACCGGCCTGAAGCTTGGCACCGGCCGCCCTTCCAGCAGAGTTTGGTGTCCCCCTCACTGTTCCGTCTGCGCGCTTGGCGCCTGCCTGCAGCTGGGCCGGCTGGGGACCAGGACAGACCAGGCGCTGGAATTGATTGAGCAGCTGTCATATGTTGTGAGCCTGGCTGGTTGGCTGCGGGGCGCGCGCGCAGGCTGCCTGGGCCATGCGCTCGCCGCCAGGCCCTGCCTGCCGCCCCGCTGCCAGGGCGCTGCCGCCTGCAGGCGCCGGGTGGCGGGCCGCTGCCGGGCCGGGCCACCGCGCGCGCGTCCTGGCTCGGGCCGTCCTGGCATGGGCGGGCCGGCCGCCTGCCACCCCGCTCCCGCTGCCCTCCTGCTGCCGTGCCGCTCCCGGGCCGCCCACCTGGCTGCCTGAGCGCGTGCTGCTTGTCGCAGGACGAGTCGATTCATCGCTTGAGAGCGGCGCTGCACCATGTGTGGAATGAAGGCGTGGGTGGGTACCAAGCTATGGAGGAGGCGCTCGAAAATGCCACCGAGGTGCGCTGCCCGCCTGCCCGCCCCGCCCCGCCGCCTGGCGGCCCCGGCGCCCTGCTGTGCCTGCCGTGCAACCTTGCCCTGCTGCGCCTGCTGTGCCTGCCGTGCAACCTTGCCCTGCTGTGCCTGCTGTGCCTGCCGTGCAGCTAGACTCGCAGCAGATAGCCGTCTTGCTGCACTCCACTGACGCATGGATAGGTGGGGCCAGCCAGCAACGCACAGCCGCTGCTGCCCCAGGCGCCAAAGGAGCCAGCGCGTGCGCCGCCGCCGCCGCCCGCAGCCCGCGCTTGGTCACCACAGTCGCCGCGCACGGCCCCCGCACTGCCCCGCCGCCCTGCAGAGCTGAAGCGCCAGCTGCTGACCGTCAGCAAGCTGTTGCTCAGGCTGGAGCTGCTGGGACAAGAGCAGGAGCTCCGGTGCCTGAAAGACTCTGGGTCCCTGCTGGCGCAGCTGGCGCAGAGGTGGGGCAGGGCGCGCCGCACGTGTGGCTGGGATGGGCGCAGGGGGACGTGTGTGTATGCACACGCGTGTGTGCAGGGTGGCAGCATGGCTGCTTGCGCGTGGGGCGGCTGCGTTCCTGCCTGGCTGCTGTGCAGCCCTGCCCTGTGCCACCCCAACCAACGCATCGACTTCGTCCCGCCAGCCCCCTGCCTGGTTGCCGTCGTTCGGGCGGCTGAGCCCCGGGCTGCTGAGCCCCGCGGGGGCGGAGAGGGTCCGAGGTTGCCCAGGTTGCTTACCGCGCTCTGCCGCTGTGGTGCAGGCTGGGGGCCGACGCGGCTGCGGCGATGGTTATGGACGAATACACAAGCGTCGCGATGCATGCTCAGAACCATGCGATGCGCCTGGACACCGCGCACAGGCTGACGGGTGAGCAGGCCGGCTGCCGCCGCCTCGGGCTGCTGCTGCTCCCCTGCTGCCCCTGCGGCGTCCCCGGCCACCCATCCCAACTGTCGCTGCCCACCTGCTGTGCGCCCCCACCCCCCCCGCCTCCTGCAGACCGGCCAAAGGACGCCGTGCTGCCCTGGGCTACAAAGGTGCAGGCCCTGTTTGGCAGTCTGCTGGGCGACGGCAGCCTGCTGCGCATCATGGCTCTGGCCAGCGCCGGCATGAGGCAGCTGGCGACAGAGTTCGAAAAGGCCGTGCTCCAGATGCAAGTAGCGGCCTGCGCGTGCAGGTGGCGCGCGTTCGACGTGCTCAGGCAAGCGCGCCGCCGCGCCGCGCCGCTCCCGGTCTGCCGCCTCGTTGTGCCTCGTCTCGTGGCCGCCCTGTCAATGGCTCCAACCCGAGCCTGGGGAGGCCCTCTGCGCTTGGCTGCCTGCTCACCCCCCGTCTGCCTGCCGCGGCCCCGGCCCCGGCCCTGCCTCCCGCCTGCCTGCAGCCAGCTGCGCCAGGCGTGCACTGTGCACCTGCTTGCGCCGTTTGAGGAGATTGCCGTGCAGCAGGTGCTGGCGGCGCGGTGGGAGAGGGCGGCGGCGGCAGGTGCGCTGCCGCGGGCGGGCGGCACGCTGCGCTGCTGCTTGGCGCCGGAGCCTGAGGCTCCTGGTGGGATGCTGGCGGCATGCCGGCGGGGTGCCCGTGCCGGTACCCTGGCTTTGCAGGCAGCCGCGCCGCCGTTCCCATCGCGGAGCCTGCCGCTGCGTGGGGAGCACCTCGCCTGCCTGCCGCCGCCTGGGGAGCGCCGGCACCCTGCGCAGCGGCGGCCAGCCTCTGAGCAGCTGGCTCCCTGCCCTGCCCTGCCCGGCCCCGGCCCTGTCCTGCCCCTGCCCGCCCCTCCACTTGTTTTCCTGCGCCCCCGCCTGCAGATCCCGCCTTGAAGGGTGGTATCAGCCCCGAGGAGGCTGCTGCAGCCGAGCGCGCTGCTGCGGCGGCGGCGGACGCACTGCTGGCAGAGGAAAGCAAGGAGGAGGAGAAGAGCCGCAAGCGGCAGCAGCAGAAGGAAGAGAAGCGGCGGGCCGCCGAGCAGAAGCGGCGGCAGCAGCAGGAGGAGGAGGAGGAGGCGCGACGCCGGCAGCAGCAGCAGCGGCAGCAGGAGGAGGAGGCGGCGGCGGCGGCGCGGCAGAGGGAGCTAGAGGAGGAAGCGCAGCGGCACCGGCAGGCTAAAGAGCAGGCTGCGGCGGCGGCAAGGGCTGCCGCGGAGGAGGATGCCAAGGGCCAGGAGGCAGCAAGGGTGGGGGATGTACGAGCAAGCAAGAGGCAGACGAGGGGAGGGGCGAGAGAGCGGCTGAAGCGGGAAGCGGCTGCTGCCGCCGCAGCGGCCGCAGCAGCGGCAGCTGCCGCGACCCCTGGCGCTGCTGCGACGCAGCCACCCAGCAAGCAGGCGAGCAGCAGCCCGGGAGAGGCCGGCACTGGGACCAAGCAGGCAGAGCAGCAGCCGCGGAAGCAGAAGCAGCAGCAGGCGCAGGCGCAGCAGGCGCAGCAGGCGCAGCCGGCGCACCAGGAGCACCAGGAGCAGCAGCAACAGAAGCACTCTCCACCGCAGCAGCAGCAGAAGGCACAGCACAAGCAGCAGAAGCAGCAGAAGCAGCCCGAGCACCACCAGCAGCCGGAGGCGCAGCCTCCCAGGTTTGCGCAGGCGCCCGGCAAGGCGCAGCAGCAGCGGGCCTCGCCACAAGGCCAGCCGCAGACCGCCCAGCCGCTGCCGCATCAGGGCGACAGCAGCGGCGGCCTGGACGGCCGCGGCGGCAGGAGGACACCCACCGCTCCCCCTGCAGAGAGAACCCGCATTCTGACCGTCCCCCGCCGGCCCGCCACGCCGCCAGACCAGCAGCACGGCGCGGCAGAGAAGCACGGCGCAGCAGAGAAGGCAGAGGCGGCAGCCGCAGCGCCCGCGGCAGCCGGCGGCTGGGCGTGGGCCGCGGCGCAGCCGCCGGCAGCGGCGGCGGCGGCCGAGCCGGCGGCGGCTGCCTCGTGGCCCGCGCCCGCAGCCCTGGAGCCGCCCGCAGCGCCGGCGCCCGATGCGGGCGCTCTGCTGTGGCCCACCCTCTGCCAGCCTCTCCCGCCAGCGGCGCCGCCAGCCGTGCCGGCGCCTGCCGCCAGCCTCGCAGAGCCTGCAGCGCCTCGCCTGTCCAACGGCTGGGCCGACCCCGCCGCCGCCGCCAGGATTGCGCAGGAGGCGGTCGTCAGGCTGTACAGCCCCGCCCAGGTGCGTGGCTGGAATGTGTGGGGGGGTGGGGTGGGGGTGGGGGGGGCTTCTGCGAGCATTAGAGGTGAAGGCAAAGATGGGGGAAGGGAGTTCCCTCCCCAGGCCTAGCTGTTCCACGTTTTAACATCTAGGTCGTTGCCGATCTGCCGGCCGCGTCAAGCGCTGGTCACCGCCCAGCTCTCGCCTTGGTGTGCTGCCTGCTGCTGCCTGCTGCTGCCCCGCGCCCATGCAGGACGCGCCGCCGGCGCCCCAGGCGCCCCCGGCCTATCCCACGCCCCCACAGCAGACGGCAGCGGCCGCCGCAGCGGCGGCGCCCGCGCCGGCGGCGCCGGAGCGCGCGCCCGAGCCAGCAGCGGCCGTGCCGGCGGCCACCCCCACGCCGCCGGCGGCGGCGTGGGCAGCAGGCCCCCCGGCCAGCTCCTGGGCAGCGCTGGCAGCCAAGCCAGCGACCCCCGCTGCGGCCAAGCCTGCACCGGCAGCGCCCGCGCCTGCGGCGGCAGCAGGGGAGTGGGGCGCGTCGGACTGGGGCGCGGCCGACTGGGGCGCCAGCTGGCAGGGCAGCCCCGAGCCGACCCCTTCCGAGGCGGCTGCGGCCGCGGCCGCGCCGCTGGCCGTGCTGCCCGCTGGCGGCGGCCCCGCCGCCCCCCCACCGCTCAAGTTTCTGGCGGGCGCTCGTCCCGGGCAGGCGGAGGTGGTCGGCCTGGGCGCTCCGGGGCCTGCGAACGAAGCCGGGGGAATCAACTGCTTCCTCAACGTTCGTCTGGCAGTCCTCCGGCCGTGCGCCGGACTTCGTGGAAAAGGTGCGGCTCCCTTGGGCGCGCCCGCGGCCAGGGGAACGGGCCCTTGGCCCGAATTTCCGGCTGTCAGCCTGGGCTGCTTGGCAGGGGTGCCTGCCTGGCTGTGAGGCATGACACACACGCGCATCGCCCCGCCAGCCAGCCCCACGGCGCCCGCACCCCCAGCCAGCCCCAGACGCCCGCCGCAGCCGTGCCCCACCCGCCTGCCGCCCCACCCGCCTGCCCACCTGCCTGCCTGCCTCCACGCTTTCTTCTCACCCGCCTGCCGTCCCACCTGCCTGCCTCCGCGCTTTCTTCCCACCCCCATGCAGGTGCTGGCCTGGCCCCCGGAAGTCTACCTGTCCGATGCCGTGCTGCAGGCCTTTGTGGGGCTGTTCCGAGAGCTCACAGAACTGGATGACCACCGGCAGGCGCTGGCGCTGGCGGCCGCGGAGGGCGGCGACCCCGCGCCGCCCGCCCCCGAGCAGCAGCAGCAGCAGCAGCAGCAGCAGCAGCAGCAGCGGGCGGTGATCGACCCCACGCCGCTGCGGGAGGCCATCAACGCGCTGCCGGGGCAGGAGTTCAAGATAGGTGGGCGGCAGGGACGGGCTGGCGGCGCGTGTGTGTGCGCACCGCACACCACGCGGCCGCCCCCGGCTCGAGCCGCTCGCTGCCCTCATCGCCCTGCCCCTCATCCCCATCCTTTCATACCTTGGTATCCAGTATACACTTTCACCACCCACCCACCGACCCGGCCGCGCCCCTATCGCCTCACCCCCGCTGCCAAACCCAGCGCCCCTTTGCGCCCACCCTTCTTGCCCCCGCAGGCGAGATGAGCGATGCCGGCGAGCTGCTGCTGGTGCTGTACGAACACATGCGGGAGGCGGCGCCCGGCGCGGCCGGCGCCAGCGTGGACGTCGCCTTTGGGCTGCGGGTGGGCGAGGGCGTGCGGTGCGGCGCGTGCGGCAAGGAAACCCAGTCAGCTCACTACACGCAGGTCTGTCCGTCTGTCTCTCTCGTTCGCCTGCCAGGGCCGCTGGGGCGCATGCGCAATCTGCGGGCGGCGCCGCAGGGGGGGTTGTGGGAGGAGGCGGCGGCGCGAGGCGATTCTAGCTTGCAACGCGCTGCCTTGCCTCCTGCCATCGCACCCCTGCTGCTTCACTCGGTGATGCCACCACTATCAACACACCCGTGCTGTGCCACCCTGTTCACCCGCTCCCTATCCTCCCTCCCCGCTCCCTCCCCCTATCACGGTACCACCATCAACACACCCACCCGCTGCCTGTCCTCCCTCCCTGCCTGCCTGCCTGCCTGCCGCAGTACTTCTTCAACTCCTTTGCTGCCGCGCTGCGCGGCAGCCTGCGCACAGGCAGCGACCCCGGCTTTGGCGCCCGCCTGCGCAGCATAGAGGATGAGCACCAGAAGAGCTGCGACACAGACCTGGGTGAGCTGGCGGCGGCACGCGCTTATTTGCCTCCTTCTGGAGTGCGGGGGTGGGGTTTGGGGGCGAGTGGGGGGTTGGAGTTTGTGTGAGCCAGCACCAGGCATGTGCGGCCAGCGTCGGTGCGGTGCTGTTGTCATGGTGGTGGTGCGATGCGGTGTGGCTCCTGTCTGCTGTGGCCGCCGCACAGCGTGACGTGCCCCCTGCCCTCCTCCCCCTCCCCCTCCCGCGTGCCCCAGGCGGCTGCGGCACGCTGCATCCCGTGAGGCAGGAGCTGCTGGGAGGCCCGCCCCGCGTTTTCACGCTGCAGCTGGTGTGGGAGTCGCACAGCGAGGAGCCTGGGGCCATCGGCGGCGCGCTGCGGGCGGTGGGAGAGCAGGTGGGGCGCCGCCGCCTGGCGCCGCCGCCTCCCTGTCTGCCTGTGTGCTCCTGTCTGTGTGCCTGTGTGCGCCGCCTGCGTGAGGGTGCGCGTGCCCGCTGAGGCTGGGGGAGCAGGCCACCGCCGCACAGCGCCGCCGCCACCGCCGCCATGACAGCATCACACCACCCTCTCACCCACCACCTGCCACCCACACATACATGCGCACACACACACACACATACACACACGCACTCTTCCCCCCGCAGATCGACCTGGGCCAGCTGTACGCGGGGGTACCGCCCGGCACCATGTACCGCCTGCGCGCCATGGTCTGCTACTACGGCCGCCACTACTCCGCCTTTGTGCACCTGCCGGAGCTGGCCCGCTGGGTCATGTTCGACGACTCCTCGGCATCGTCTGTCGGCGCCTGGGCTGAGGTGCGACGGCGCTGCGAGACCGGCCGCGTGCAGCCGTCGGTGCTGTTTTACGAGGCCGCCGCCTGAAGGTGGCGGCGGCTGGAGCGGCGGAGCAGCAGCGGCGGGGGAGAGGGCGGTACGGGGGAGGCGGTGGGAGAGCAGCGGCGCCTGGCGGGCGGAGGCTCGCCGGCGGCAGAGCGCTGTGGCTGTGGCGGGGAGGGACGTGTGCAGCGAACAATTTTGTAAAGCCTGCTGCGGAACAGAGCGGGGCAGGAAGGTGGGCGGGCATCGGTTTGCCTCCAGGCTGTCCAGACGGCGCACTTGGGCATCAGTTTGCCCTGTCTCATGCTGTCAGCCGCCTGAGCACCAGCAGTTGGTTGGCGGGCCCTGCCGCTGCCACCCCGCTCAGCCACTCTGGGCTCCTGCCCGACCCAAAGCCGATGCACAGATCTCTCAAGTCCTCCATTATCGTGTTGCATGCTGTTGGTTGTAATGCGTGTCCAAGAGCAACAGCCTTTCCTCTCGGCGCCCTGCCACCTGTCCGCGGCGCACGGCATGGGGAGCAGGGAGAGGGCTCCATGGGGCCGCCAGCGCACTCCCATTGCGCGCCTCAGATTCTAACTATGCGCAGCAGGCGGCTGGAACACGCATAACTCACAGGTGCTCTTTCTCATCACCTCGCATCCCCAACCCGCTCGCATTGCCGCTGTGCGCGTGTGAACAGGCCACACAACCCAGGTAGTGAGTGCTCCAGCTGCTGCCCTGCAGGATCCGCTTCGCTGTCCGACTCCGCCTGCGCTACCTGGCCGCCGCGCCAGGCGCGGCACTGGCCAGGAACCACGCCGTCCGCCTGCCGCTCCACCTAGCGCTCTCCCGGGGGTTTTACGATGTCGCCCACGCCCTGCTGGCGGCGTGGCAGCTGCCGCGGGAGGCCGGGGAGCTGCTGGGCGCTCTGGAGGGCGCCCGCGGCGGCACGTCCCCTCAGCTGTGGGTGGATGTGGTGTGCCGCCTGGCGCTGACGCCCGAGGACTGGCTGCGGGTACCCGCTGGCCTCCCCGAGCTGCGCGCCGCGCTGCCCGCCGTGCTGGCCCGCTCCTGCGCCGAGGCCGCGCAGCTGATGGCCCGCCTGCCGGCGGGCGACCGCGACCGCGTGCGCACGGCGGCGCTGAGCCTGGCGCGAGCGCAGCGCGACGCGGGGGTGCCGCTGCCGCCGGCTGTGGTGACCCGCCTGCTGGGCACGGCTCTGGAGGCCTGAAGGAGCGTGTGCCACAGCCCAGCAGCAAACGGTAGCCCGACCTGCGTGGCCTTGAGTAACACAGCCGGTCCTGCCTGCCCCTGCCTTGCCCCTGACTAGCCATTCATTCATTGCATGCCTGTACTGCCCCCGTACCTCCTTGCCTGCACAGATTCCAGCACAATCAGATACCTGCCCTGTACAGCTCCACACTGCCAAGCGTAATTCACAGCAGTTAGTCTCCCAGGGACGACAGGTGCCACATTAGTGCGGTCACAGGTACAGTCTGTGTGTGTAGGGGGCTGAGGGAGGCGCAGAACACAAAGTGCGGAAAGAGGCCTGGACAGGGACACAGATGGCGAACCGCAGGGGGGGCAGGCAATGGCGCTGCTCCCCGCCCAGGTCTTCGAAGCGTGGCGCGAGGAGTATGAGGAGCGACACAGCAGGAGGAGGTTCATCACAGATCCAAGTGTGGCAATGCGCAACAGCCAAGAGGTCAGCAGGAACCGCAAATGCGAGCAACAGAAGGCGCCCTGCCGAGCAGCACAGCAGCAGGGGGAGGCACCGCAGGGCCTAGAAGCCGATGCGCTTGCCCGGCTGCGCCGCCACCGAGGCATCCAGCTCCACAATGGGCTTGACCAGCAGCTGGGCGGGCGCGGCGTTGGGGGCCGCCGCGGCCGCCGCCTGCAGCTCCTGCTGGCGCCAGGCCGGCAGCAGGATGGAGTTGGCGGCGGCGCCCACGCGCGCAAAGTCGCGCTGCGGGCAGGCGCGTGGGACACACGGAAGGGGTGGGGGTGAGGGAGAGTGCATCGGCGGCCCACAGGGGAGGGGAGAGGCGAATCCAGAAGGTCCCCGCCTGCACAGCCAGGCCGCCACACAGGCTCCCAGCAAAGAGCTGCTGGGAGGCAGCAGCCATGCCGTGGCACGCGGCGGCGCCCGCCCATCCAACACGCGTGCACACACCTGGGCAAACCACTCATATGATCCCTGCCCAGCCACGATGGCCACCCGGCGGTACCCCTTCTGCCGCATCTCCTGCACAGCCGTGGCAAGGTGCGGCAGGGGCAGCAATTCATTTCAAGCAGGGGCACCGCGTGCTGAGGGTGCAGGCGCCATGCGCCACAGACGTGCTCCTGCTTCAACATCCGCCACAATGAAACACACACACACACACAAACACGCACACACAGCGCACACTCAGCACATACACACGCACAACACCCACACAACACACCCAAACAAACACACGCACACAGCACAGCACACCTGCTCCACGTAATCCAGCAGGCTGTCACCGAAGCCGGCACGGCGGTACGCGGGGTGTACGCAAAAGGCGCCCAGCTCGGCCACCCGCACCGCGTCGGCAGAGTCCCCCAGATCGCAGACGACGGCGCAGCCCAGCACCTGCGGTGTGGAGGGTGGGAGGATGAGGGAGGGAGGGGCGCGGGGAGGGAGGGGCCAGGTGGCAGGGTGGGTGGGTGTGGATAGGCGGGCAGGGCAAGGTGGCGGAGGAGCAAGCGCGAGGGGGCAGGCGGGAGGCGAGCGGAGGAGGCGAGCCGGAAGAAGAGGCGAGGCAGGCAGGCAGGCGTGGTGCCAGGCAGGGGGGCAGCGGTCAGGCAAGCAACCTGCCAACGAGAGAGAGAGAGAGAGCGCGCGCGCGCGCGCGCGAGAGAGAGAGTGAGAGAGTCGGCGCCGCACCTTGCCCTCCCGCTCGATCACAGTCACGTCTTGCAGGCGCACCGGCACGTCGTCGACGGGGAAGGGCAGCGTGAAGCCCTCGGCCGCCAGCATGCCCAGCAGCTGCTGCAGGCCGGGCACGTCGCGCCCCTCTGCAGGCCTACAGCTACAGCCGGGGCGGGAGGCGGGGTGTGGGCTGGGCAGCTGGGCGCACAGCCCCCAGGAGGCAGAGGGTGGGTGGGGGTGGCCGCGGCCCATGCTGCCTGCTGCTTGCTGCCTGCTGCCACTCAATTGACACCTGCCTGCTTGCAAGAGGGCCGGGCCCGTTTCTGGGCGAGCCAGGGAGGAGGAGCCCAGGAGGCACCCCCACCCCACCCCATCCCAGGCAGGCGGGCAGCTCACCTGATGCCCTCATAGAGGTCCGCCGCGATCATGCACACGCCGGGGGTGCCGTCCCGCGTGTACATCTCAAGCAGCAGGGCGCTGCGGTACAGCAGCGGTACAGTAGCACAGTGTCAAATGACAGTACAGTGCAGACACGGCAGGCCATGCAGCCAGCCTCCCAGCCGTGCCCCCCCCGTGCTGCTGGCTAAAGCATTGCCAAGGCGCAGCAACCCGCCGGCTGCTGCCATCAGCTGTGCCCTGCACAAGCGCCAGCGGCCTTCTGCTCACCCGTCGCTGTCGGCGTCAATGAGGTGTGCCCGCTTCACCCCATTCTTGCAGGCCACTACCGCCGCCAGTACCGCCGTGGGGTATCCCACATGCTGCCAGCTGTCCAGATCCAGCGCCAGCTCCACACCCTGCCGCCGCCCCCCCGCCGCCTCCTGCTGCCGCCAGCTGCTCTCCAGCTGCTGCCGCTCGCTGCCCTGCCACACGCCGCTGCCGTCGCCGCTGCCGCTGTCGCTGCCGTTGCCGCCGTCCCAGCTGCCGCCGTCCCAGCGGCCGCCGCCAGCGGCCTCCTGCTCGCCGCTGCCATACCAACGGGCCTGGCCGCTGCCGCCGCCTCCCTCTCCGTCGCTGCTGTCGCTGCCAGAGGCGGCGGCCACGCGGCTCGCCTTCTCGGCTGCATCGGCATGGCCCAGCTTCTCGAGGGAGGTGGTGATGCAGGCCTGGTCGCCGCCGCACACGCTGGCCGTTATCATTGCCTCCGCATCATCCTGCGTCAGGGTCAGGCAGCGGCATGGGGCACAGAGGTAGGCCACGCCGAGGGAGGCGCAGGAGGGGCGAGCGGGGCGGCAGGCACAGAAGTGGGCATGCATCCCACAGGCAGGGCAAGATGCACCACACCGTCCTGCCCAGCAGGCCACACGACACGGCAC